GGCCTTAGGACTCAGTTTCAACCCAACAAGTAATAGGGTTTTCTTCTCCAACTCATCATTCCACAGACAAAATAAAAATCAGATTGTTTCTGAAGATGGAGTACGTAACTTCAATCACATGAGGCAAACAGTGCAGAAAGGTGAAGTTATTTGAAATGGACCCCTCAGAACGTCAGCTCTGCACCACTCCCAATATACAGTCTTTAGCTATTTTGAAGGTTTGGATGATCCTATTGAATTAGCACAAGTGAAAAATAGCATCTTATGCTAGAAACTTGAAATAGGTGTTGGTGCAGCATTTGGAAACTGACTAAGCAAGAACCCTTTTTCCCATTCACAAGATACCAACCTGAAACAGCCACATAACTACAGTGTCACTGACTCTTATTTCCTTTCAGTTGCAAACAAACTGTAGTCAGACCTACTATTTATGACCCTGGTTCTGCAGCTGAAGCCTCAACCAGATCATGGCACTAATTGCACTGAGGAGCTCCTGCCATGGCTGGTTAGCACAGCCAAGTAAGCAACCAAAGCATTATCTTATTACCTTGTTTTTCACAGAATGATCTCAGTAGATGAAATCAAGCTCAAGAAATACACCATGGCAAATTCATTAATAACTTCTCCTCTAGTTCTGGGAGTTATGTCCTCAGTGATTAAGTTTTCACCGATAGCAAAGTCAGACGTTGTCACAAGGCACACAAAACAGAAGTCTGAATGGGTAGTTCAAGATGGTGGGAGGCAGCTTTGAGACATTCCTCCCTTCTCTGTGGGTCACAAATTCAGTAGTGGCAGTTTGCCTGTCAAAGCACCTGCATATGTACATGCACAGGAGGAGACATTTGACTACTGTTTTTTTTTGTGTGCCCTGATACTTCCAGCTCCCCCTCCTCTAGGAAGACAGCAGCGATTTGCAGCTCTAAGCACTATGCATCAGCACAGAAACGAGCCTTCAAGTGCTAGGAAGTGCTGGCCAGAAAACCATTTCATCTCCTTTGTGGCAAAGGTATAAGACATCTGAATAGGCATCTGCAGGTGCAAAACCAGCCTGAAAACTCAGTCACATCATTTCCAGTTAAAAAAAAAAAAAAGGCCATTAGTGGTAATCTCAGGAACAGAAGTTTTGAAAGACCTGATTCCTCAGACATATGACTGGGCTGCACCTGAAGACAATTTGCACTGTTTCCATCTTTAAAAACCATACAGCCACCTCCAGATTTCATGCCTACAAGCAAAAGTTTTGAAGAATTTACAATTCAAGTCCTGTAAGCACTGGCACCATTCAAAACCAGAAGAAAATAGAAGGGGCAGAAATTATCATCTTTACAAAGACTAAAGCCATAGTCTGCTGTAGAGAAGGCAGAGTTCTCCTTACTTAAGGCAAGGAAACTTAATGTTCATTTTGTACTATCAAGTAGAAACCACAAATCTAATAATTACTGACCTATGTAACACCAGCCACAGCCACCTTTTCCTGTTAAGATTGATATATTCCATGAATAATTTTGAAAAGCACAAATTAAAGCAAAAATATACGGGCAGCCGTTTTGAGCCTCCTTGTAGTCAGCAATTCCAGCAGACAGTAAAAGAGAACAGCAAAAAGCAGTTGTTTCATAGAATAGTTAGGGTTGGAAAGGACCTTAAGATCATCTAGTTCCAACCCCCCTGCCATAAGCAGGGACACCACACACTAAACTATGTCACCCAAGGCTCTGTCCAGCCTGGCCCTAAACGCCTCCAGGGTTGGAGCATTCACAGCTTCCTTGGGCAACCTATTCCAGTGCCTCACCACCCTCACTGTGAAGAACTTCTTCCTTAGATCTAACCTAAACTTCCCCTGTTTAAGTTTAAAGCCATTACCCCTTGTCCTACCACTAGAGTCCCTGATGAAGAGTCCCTCTCCAGCATCCTTGTAGGCCCCCTTCAGATATTGGAAGGCAGCTATAAGGCGTCCACGCAGCCTTCTCTTTTCCAGGCTGAACAGCCCCAACTTTTTCAGCCTGTCTTGATACGGGAGGTGCTCCAGTCCTCTTACCATCCTCGTGGCCCTCCTCTGGACTTGCTCCAACAGCTCCATGTCCTTTTTATGTTAAGGACACCAGAACTGGATACAATACTCCAAGACAGGTCTCACAAGAGCAGAATAGAGAGGCAGGATCACCTCCTTCGACCTGCTGGTCATGCTTCTTTTGATACAGCCCAGGATACGGCTGGCTTTCTGGGCTGCAAGCTCATCGGCTTTGAGGTGGATGAGGTTGGTTAGTCATGTAAAGTAACTTGAAAGCTCATGAAACCTGCAGTAATTTTCTATCAACTGGTCAGTTTCTTCACAATTCGTTTTTGAGAGGTTTCACTGCAAGATGTGAAAGAGACAGGAGATGGAAAGAGGATTGCAAGCTCCAATCCTCTGGAAAAAAGCTGTAGCTAATATCAAGTTGCGTCATATTTTAATAGGACTAAGGAGAAGTAGCACATTTCCATTTGTTTCTGCAAAGAGAACAAGAACACTGTTCAACCTTTTTTTGTTGCAACTCCCTGAATAAAGAAGATAAATGTAAGTCATCAGAAACTGTAACTGACCTCTAGTTACACAGGAGAAACTGCGGTCACACAAGTGTTAGTCCCTATTCCCACACTTGGCACAAGGGAAATGCTGAAGGTTAACTAGCACTGTTCACAAAAAGCTCCCTATTTGCATGCTGTTACACATCCACGCCATTCCAACTTCCCAAAGCTTCTCAGGACCTGAAATGGTGCCCGTTTCTGCAGCTCAGTTTTTGAAGGATGAGTTCAAAGAGGTTTACACTTTAGAATATAGGAGCAGCACTCACACAGTTTAACACGCAGCACTGACTTCAAGTACCAGCTTTGCATAGCTCCAGCTGTAGTAAAGCAACAGGAGTGATGAGAAAGTGCCGGCACTGGGGAAGAAACTCTCTTCCAGTTCTGAAGAGGACGAAGAGCATGGGACTTTTGGCAGGCAGCAGCTCGCTTTCTCTTGACATCTGTATTGTTGTTGTTCTAGGTGATGTTACAGCACAAGTATTGTCACAATATAACTCGGTAACATCACAAGATCGAAGTCCACAGTGTTGGAATTTATTTGTGCATACTTAAAGTCGGCCGAATGGAGAAAGACACTGTTTTTTCCACTTGCTTCATCCAACTGTTTTAAGCCAACTGCTTACTCTAAAAGTAGCAAAATAATCCAGCTATCAACATCAAAAATACTCAACAATCTTAAAAAAGGAAACCTGTATCTGTTCAAACAAAACGCATATTTAAGAGACCATGAAAGCAAAGTCACCTTTTTTGTTCCTCCTCAACTATCCTGTACCCGGCAGCCAGTATTCAACACCTATTTCTTAAAAAAGAGAAAGTGTACTCAAAGAGGCGAGTCTTCAATGAGTTCAGAAGAACAAAAACCATCAAATGACTGTCCTGTGTGCCTTACTGCTGGCACAAAAATTGGTACAATGGATTCTCCGTCCATCTTAGACTGACATAAATAGTGGCAGAGTTTTTCAGCTACATAAACCGTGGGCTATTGTGAAGCTTTGAAAGCATACTCTAAAAAAATGTTCCTGCCCACAGAATTTTATCTTTTTTTACTCACCTTATTTTGGGAAAACTTATATCTGGTTTACAGTCTTCCCTTCCAAGCCTAGGGTCCATGCATCTTTTGAATAAAGGAAGTTGCAAGTAGTTAAGCATCTGAAAGGAAGCTTTTTCTGGTTTTAATTATACCCTTCTACGCTCTGCGTGAAATCCTTCCTTCTATGTTTTATTCACACCGAGGTTTAAACTGGAGAAAAAGGCAATCCCATACCTTGTGTTCTTTCCCCTTAAAACAAAATGTCAGGAAAAAGCACTGTTTAAAGACATAGGAAAGGAAGATTAGGAGAAATACAAAGTTTAATAATACTCATTTAAATTTTACAATTGAAGCAGCAGCGTTCAAAGAAACAAAATTGGAAGGAAATTTGTATTCAGGGGAAGACTGAGCATAGATTTCTGTCTCAGTCTGGAATCCAACACTCAACACAATCTGTACTGAGCCCTCAGAAAAAGCTTTATTTAGGATCCTATTGCAACACAGGGATTTTCATAGCCTTCAGATATACATCATCTTTCCCAATAGAAGGGTAACACAGTTATTTGCTGACTGAGACCATACCTCCTCAAGAGCTACAGCCTTTTAACTGATCACATGCACCCACCTAGCTGGCACTTAACATCAACTTTCAAGCAGGTTAAATTCAGTCAAAAAGACAGTTTGACTCCCTAAATTGCAGCAGGCCAAGAGCACTTCAGCATTCAGTAACATATACCGTAATTAACAGCACATCTTAAAATGTTACTGTCTAGCTTAATGAACAAACTGGCAGCTGAATGAACAAACAGCAATTTAATGATGGTGAACCACTGACACCAAGATCAATACTCAGGAGGTTCAAAGTGACAGGCAACCACCACATTTCTTCAAGTTTAGTATCAGAAACTCGGAATGTTTGCCATCACAGTTGTCTAAACAAAACCCAGACGCGCCAAGATGCCTTTGCCACTGGACAGCTACTCCTAAAACTGATATTCCTTTCCAACTTACTCCAGTGAAACTTTTAAACAGATGCCTGTTTCCAAATCTACATGTTTGCTTCCCATACTAAATCACTGGTCTTCCACACAACTGGCAGGACTGTCCCCTCAGCAGATGTACTGCCAGTAGCAATCGGTTCAGGTTTACACTGCTGCCTGTTGATCAGCTTATGAACCCCTTCCCATTTGAATGCCACAACCCATAAGAACTCCACACGTCCCCTCTTTTTGGCTTCAGTTATCCATCCCCATCATCAACCAACCAAGTGATCGCTGCCAGTTTCTTAGGCTGCCATTTATCACTAGAATGCCTGTACTGAAAGGAAGGCTTAAAATCACAGCTGAAGACACAACCCGGTGCCCTGCAGCAGTGCCATCATGGTGTACGAAAGCACGATACCCACCTTATGGCACCCAGGATAGGTTGCCATGGTGTTGAGGGCAGAGGTGCTGGGATTCTTGCTGGTGCTGGCCATGATATTTTGGATCTGGGTGAGCTCTTGCCTCAGGACCTGTTTCTGGTGGAAGCTGAAAGCAGGATGGTTGGATGCCATTGTGAAGAGCAACAGGAACTCATCCCCCGTGCGGCCCTCGTTGAGTTGTAGCCCATAGTTGTTGATGACCGAATCGATGTGGGTGAGGGTACGGAAGAGGACCCCGGCCG